AATGAAATAAAGCTATATAATATAAATATAAATATATATATATATATATATAAAGCTATAAAATATTGGATGAAAAACTTTAGCTTAAGGTGAAGTAACAAAATGAATAAAACTAAAACAAATACAATTTAAGCTAAATAGAAATGAATATATATTAAAATATAATATATATTAAAATTAAAATTAAATGAATAAAACTACAAATAATAACAATGACAAATGCACATACCAAAATGACTGAAAATAAAACTAAAGTGAAAAATAAAAGCTATTCAAATTCAAAATATTAAATAATACTATGTATATAAATAACACTGTTCAAAAATGTCTAAACCAATTTTCTTAACAGTACTTTTTTCTATAAATATATATATTTATATATATAGAAATAAAAAATAAAAAATAAGATAAGGATAAGCTAGTTTGGAATTAAAGTCTGGTTCGTAGATACTGATCAACTTATTCAACTTATCTACCCTAAATGAAAAAGAAAGAAATCATTCAACATGGCTGCGTGCAAAATGTTACAAAACAAATTTTTGTTGTTGGTTTTAAAATTAAAAATAAAAAAACGATTGATTTAACTATGGATTTATTTAATAATTCAACATTGTAACATTTCTGCATGATTTTTATTTACTAGATTTAATCAATAGGTAGAATGGGGCAAAAATGACCATTTTAAGGGCAAGGAGGAGGATATTTGTGTTTAATACTATCCCTTTTCATGCCACATTAATTTGATTTCCGTCATATATAATAGAAGTTACAGTAAAAGGATAGAAAAAGACCTCTTTGAAGGACTGCAGCAGGTTGCTGCCGGACACTGATAGTGTGATGTCTACATGGTGCATGATGAACAGTGGCTCTTCCTGACTCTGATATGGGAAGCAGGCGAGATTGTCTGCAGTATACAGCAGCAAGTTCACGTCTGACTTCTGCATGGGAAGAAAACAAAACGGCATTATTGAAGAAACATAGGCCACTGAAAATGCTGACAGATATAGAAAAGCATAAACTGTAGCTACAGAAGATATTACAAAAGATAGTAATCAACAGAGTGACATATAATGCAAAACATTACAAAAACACTGACCGTGTTGTCATCAAACAGGTTGAGCAGCGAGATGAGGAAAGCCCTGCGGTGTTGTCTGTTTACGCGCACCATGGTGTAGAGGTGAGAGCAAAGAGCCGTGTTTGTCTCATCCTGTCGGAAACCCCTGATTACAGTGTCCTTTGAATCCACGATGGCTTGCTGCACCTGATAGGACATCTTCATCCCCGCCACAGCCTTCATCTGTTTGGATGGCATGTATGGCCAGGGTTATTTCAGTATAACTGACATATAGTTTTTATTAATATTTGGAATTAATCTAACACTTTACAATAGGATTCATTAGTTAACTACATTAGTTAACATGAACTAAGAATGAACAATACTTCTACAGCATTTATTAATCTTAATTCATGTTAATTTCAGCATTTACTAATGCATTATTAAAATCTGTTTGTTAACTGTGTGTTTGTTAACTTGTTAATGCACTGTGAACTAACATGAAACAATGAATGTGTGTATTTTTATTCACATTAATAAAGATTAATAAATAGTGTAATAAATACATTGTTTGTTCATGTTAGCTAATACATTAACTGTTAACAAAGTACACCTTACTGTAAAGTGTTACCATTAATTTTTATATTTTATAATATTACATATATATATATATATTTTAAAGGTGATTTTCTCAATATTTTGATTTATTTGCACCCTCAGGTTCCAGATTTTCAAATAGTTGTATCTCAGCCAAATATAGATCCCTATAAATACATAAATAGATCCCTGTTCTTTAAATAAAACAGGGCACACACTAGTCTAACCTGCTAGACTTCATCATGTAATGTATGCGTGCACTCAGACATACACTCATGCACGCAGACCATGCATATCGCACACCCCTATTAGATTTTTATAATGCATTGTCTTCTTATCGATCCACCACTTAACATTTAAAGCTCTGCGTGTTTGCAGGTTAAAAACATGGGTCGATTTTTGCATTTGTCTGAACTCTTGAACAAAACAACAGTTTTATTGAAAATGCTCATTCATTCTCTGACAGCAGGTGGAGCGTATGGTAGAAATATAACTGTTTCCCCGGTAACAGCAGCTGCAGCACCTGACTTTGAACCTGCAGCGCTTGTGTTTATTCAATGAAATCATAGCCTTTTGAAGTTTAATCGTCACATTCAGCCATATGGCAATTCTGGTCTTTCCGTCCCCAAATTTAAGACTTCTTGAAATCATAATTAAGACGTTCTTGTACAATTTAAGACTATATATATATATATATATATGAATGTGACTAGTCTATTATAGTCCATTATAGTCTATAATAAATTGATGTACTTAAAACTTGTCTATGTTTATTAATGCATACAAATTTTTCCTTGGATTTGAGACTTTTAAAATCCAGAAATCATCAGGATCTCACCTTATTACTGCCTTTGAACTCCTCTTGGTCAAAGTCGAAGTGTCGGCTCAGGGCACCCACAGTGAAGAGTGAACGCAGTAGAGCGGGTTTATTAGAGACCAGTACAGTGCTGTTCGAGTCTTCCTGATGCTGCAACTTCAGCTTGTTTAGTGCTCCTTCACATGAAAGAAGAAGAACTTTAGAGTGATTAACACTCTCAGGATCATAGAAGGGCAAAAGACTCCTGCCAGGCGTTGAAATTTACTCACCATAGTATCGGTTGAAACAAGACCACACAAACTTGTAGTTATGGGTGACCTTATTGACAACCGCACCAAGACAACTCACGCAGTGCTGCACAACCTGCAGGAAACAACAACAGTTTTATTGAAAATGCTCATTCATTCTCTGACAGCAGGTGGAGCGTATGGTAGAAATATAACTGTTTCCCCGGTAACAGCAGCTGCAGCACCTGACTTTGAACCTGCAGCGCTTGTGTTTATTCAATGAAATCATAGCCTTTTGAAGTTTAATCGTCACATTCAGCCATATGGCAATTCTGGTCTTTCCGTCCCCAAATTTAAGACTTCTTGAAATCATAATTAAGACGTTCTTGTACAATTTAAGACTTTTTAAGGCCTTAAATTTGATACAACTAAATGTAAGACTTTTTAAGACCCGCGGAAACCCTGATTATGTAAACAGTTTTGGTTTAAAAAAATAAAGGGGTTCAATAAAAAAAATTAATTTCATTAGCTTATTTCGGGTAACACTTTTTTTATGATTTTAGCCTAATGCACCTAAAATTTCTTGCAGCATCATACATGACAAATGCATGTTAGTTGTTCAAATCCACTTACGTGAATGAATCCTGTGTATTTCTTATCAATCTCCACCAGCTGTTGATCAGCTTTATTCCTCATAGTGGGTTCTGAGTCAGTTCCCATTGCGATAAGATACGGAACGCACTGATGGAGGAGGAAAAAAGTCAGTTAAACTAAAAGCTCTTTCAGACTGGCTTTAGGAGTGTTTGTGCAGAGGATACGTACCTGTACGGGATGAACGAGGCCTTGGCTGAGCGTCAGGGCGATTACATTGAGGGCAAAGTGCCTTACGCTGGATTGCGTGTGGAAAAAGCTCTCCAGCACCTGCTTGAGGTAGAGCTGCATGATAGAACTGCTCATGCCAGATGAGATGTCACCCATCTCCTTCAAGTCCTCCTGCTTAGACATCTTCTTCCCTGAAAAGACCAAAGACAAAGAATGAGAATAAAAATAGCTGACTGGCTAGCTACTTACCAAGTGACAGATGCGTTGAACACAGACAAGAACATCCTGTATAAATGACACTCACACTCCCTGTCGGCTTCCTGCATGCGCGAGTCTTCCTCCTGCAGGTATGTCTGCAGATTCTTTAGCACCTGGATCTTCAGATTCAATGACGTTTTCCTGTCAGCCAGGAGGCAGTTGTAGAGGTTTTTCACATCTGAAGCAAACATTAGCCCTGGGTGCTGGATTAACAGGAAGCCTGGAGAACCAAGATCATGGTTTTGTTTACAGTGAGTGAAGTGAAAAGGTGAAAACAAGAAATGTAGTGATTATGGAGAGCAAATATTTACCTAGACCAATGATGGCCTTGGTCTGCACCTCCTCATCCTCATTTTTAGTGAAATACAGCAGCAGCTCCAGCACTTTGTCCTTTATGACCACCTGAAAGAGAAGAAGACCATTAACCAGACGGGTAAAGGAGTGAATCTTACAAAAACAATTCAAGGTTACATTTGATAAAGGAAATTAAACGCATTATAGGGCCATAAAGACATTTTCATATTGTGACATCATATTTTGACATTATGCTTACATGACATTTCATGTCAATTAAGCACATTTTCCTCAAAATTCTCATAATGTGTCCGGATGTTTCATTTTTGTTTTTTGGTACAAAAATTATTCTCATTACTGTCAATTCTCATTAGATTCTAATTGCTGTAGTACAATCATTTTTATTAGATTTTAAAATGATTTAAATCAGCATTATGAGCAGCAATAATGTATAAACAAAATGTAAATGTATCAGCTTTTTCATATTAACAGCAACAAGTTAATTACTTCAATATTTTTAAATGAAATGATTAAATTATTTAAATTAATGAATAAATTTGACTACTCAGTCCCACTGATCTATTAAAAATAGACGTCTATTTTTTAATGCATAAAATATTTATTGTCATATAAGATTAATAATACATAAATATAAAAAAATAAATAATTAATCATATAATTGTAATTATAATATATATTTCAATTAATACAATAAGTGAACAAAATGTATTCATTTTGATTGTGGGAATTTATAAAACCTGTTCTTTAATATACCAAAATAAAATTATTTATTTAACTGTTGACAAAATTTGTGAGATTAACACAATTACAAAAACATTCTGTGATCTAAAAGAAAAAAAGTAATAATAATAAAAAATAATAAGTGCTGCACAACCTGCAGGAAACAAGGCAGATGGCACCATGAAGCTGTTGACACACAAACCGCTGGACACCAGAGCTGTTGATACTCGCTCTCCAACTGACCGTCATGCCGTATTTGATGATGAGTTTCATCAGGTCTTCTTCGATGGTGGTGAGGAAGTTTTCACTCGGATGGTCCATCAAAGGAACAACGAGCTCCAGGATTTTAGCCACATTACAGATCACCATAAAATCACTCTGAGTCTGTAGTGACATAATAAGCACAAGAAGCACCTTCACTCTCTGGCCTCTAGATGGCATCACAACACCAGTTATTGCAATACATTCCCAGACAGCACTCACATTACACTTTGTGGTCAGGTACGGCTGCATAGTCATGGCATGTTTCACCATCAACTGGGGTCGGATCTTGCTAAACAGGTACAGCGTGGTGATACATGCCACTAGGCGATCGGATGTCAACCCCTTATTCTCACAGTCTGCAAAACAAAAAAATAACTCACCAGAAGTTCAATTAAGGTAAATCCTTTGCTTCAGAATTTAATACACCTCATACCAGCGAGAGACTCCTCGTATTTCAGAATATGATCTACGAGACTGTCCACCAGCTGAGCACAAGCCTTCCTGGCCGGTTTGTACGAGGCATCCTCTTCTGACTTTAGCAGCTGTGACAAGACGGATTACACCAATGGTTAGGTTACTTTTTGTTTTGTTTTTTACCTGAAAAAGTAAATGCATTATTCCAGTTCACACTTCCTCTGGGGCTAATGCTATGTTCAATTCAACTCAGAAAGTCAGAATTTGCAATTTCCTACTTTGGAAAAGAGCAACAGAATGGATTTGAATGAGTATTTTGCTCTTCTATCACCCCTTTTGGGTTTCAAACCTTTCAAGGTACTATCCCAGATCGCCGAGAACCCCTAAATGCACTACTAAGCATTGGAAAAGCAAATCCAAACTGTCCTTGCTCATACCAGCGAGAGACTCCTCGTATTTCAGAATATGATCTACGAGACTGTCCACCAGCTGAGCACAAGCCTTCCTGGCCGGTTTGTACGAGGCATCCTCTTCTGACTTTAGCAGCTGTGACAAGACGGATTACACCAATGGTTAGGTTACTTTTTGTTTTGTTTTTTACCTGAAAAAGTAAATGCATTATTCCAGTTCACACTTCCTCTGGGGCTAATGCTATGTTCAATTCAACTCAGAAAGTCAGAATTTACTTCCTATTTTGGAAAAGTGCAACAGAATGGATTTGAATGAGTATTTTGCTCTTCTATCACCCCTTTTGGGTTTCAAACCTTTCAAGGTACTATCCCAGATCACCGAGAACACCCCAAAATGCAATACTAAGCATTGGAAAAGCAAATCCAAACTGTCCTTGAACCATAGATGGGCAACTTACATTCTGAAGGAGCTGTTCGAACCAGTCGTAACCGGAATCCTTGCATGCAGCGACCTGAGAGACAATGATTCACGTCAGAGGGACATAATGTGACCTTAAACGTGTATTAAAGTACATGTCCTGAGGGTCAGATGTTAGCCCACTCTGCAGATCCTTACCACGTCTGTGATGTTGAGAATCTTGCGAGTCATGGCCTCTTTATCATGATTAGGTGTTGGGGTGAACCAGAGCTTCTGAAATGTCTCATTTACCAATTTCTGAATAAGAAATAGCAAAATTAAACTGGTTATAACATAACTGCACAATAAAATAAAATGTAAAAACATTTTTTAGGCCCCTAAATAAGATTTTTTAAATATTTTACTACTAGTTTATAAAGTAAATCAACTTAAACAATTTTTATTATTTTATTTAGTAATTTCCAAATAAAACATGTACAAAACAAAACATGTACGTAAATGTGACGTACATGGATTACAGATTTGAAAAGAGAAAAACGCAACTAACCTTGATGCCTTCTTCGTCACTGACCCTCCTGATCATCTTTACACACATCTCTGTGATCTTGTTGAAGGTGGGCTGCTCCAGACAGATGTCCCGTAGAATTTTAATAACTCTCTTCCTCACACTGATGCCTGTGTCCTGCAGAAAACATTTGCCAGCTCAAATCAGCCTACATGATGCATTCAAAGCAATCAGTTTTCACTGCTAACTGGAAATAAAAGCATGTGTTAAATTTACAATAATAGTTACAACTGTACAGATGGCCAATTATTAGCACTACATAAACCCAAATGGAGTGATCAACTTAAAGCAGAGGGGTCTTGTATCAAACTGAAGTGGCTTATTTCATGGGTTTTACCAAATAAATAAATAATTTAATTAACGGGTGGGCATGAAATATTGATTTGCATATGGTTGTTCTTAAAAAGGGGAGAAACACAAAACACTTGGAAAATTAAAAAATTGATTGACGGCATACATGGTAACAATTTGTTGTAACAATTGTTTTTGTTTTATTGTAAAATTAATCTTGGTGATTTTTCTTTTTTTTGCTGTATAACAGGAAAAATAAATAAAAAAGAAATATTGATTCATTCAATTATTTTATTACATGAGAACAAAGAAACTGCTGACTGCTACTAAAGACATCAAACAAGCTATTAAGAAAATCTGGTAAGGACAAGGGACAAATACATTTTTTGCAGTCATAATGCAAAAAATATATCTACAATACAGGCAAGTATATATAGAAAGAAAAGCACAAACCAGGATGCGCTCGATCAGCATGTCATAATACTGTTCAGTTAGCTGTGGTCGACTCAGTACGAAGCGCCCCAGCAGCTCTACCGCAGCTTCTCTCACACTGGTGGAATTGTCCATCAGTCGGCCATGAACTCCCCGCTGCATGTCCGACTAAACCAGAAAAAGCAAATGAGAATTTAAAATATGCAAATGAAGACATTAAAAAGCGTAGGTTTTTTGGGAACTGCACTCACCCGTGCCAGAATGCTCGGATCCACTGCAACCACTTCAGAAAGACATTTCATCGCTTTAGTTCTCACCGCGATGGCACTTTCACCGAGGACTCTCAAAATCTACAGATACAAATGGGGAGATGTATTATTGATATGCAAATACAAAGAAATATGCTGAGAGACAAAATGACCTCTAACCTGTGTGAGATAAATATCAAAGCTCTGTGCAAACGGCCTCATGGAGGCTAGATATCGCACAATAAGACACGAGTCCTCATAGTCGACAGTATCCGAGTTTACTCTGTGAGAAAACACGTAGCAGGTGTCAAAATGTTTCTAAACATATCGCATTTTTATTTTTTGGGTGAACTATCCCTTTAACAAAGTGAAAAATTTCTGCTGTTTGTACCTCAGAGAGCTGAATTTCGATGCCGTGGTCTTGATAACAGACCGGAGGAACTTCTTGCGCACTTCGGCTTTCTGCAAGATCTCACTAGTGGTCTCGACGTCCCTTGCATGGTGCGCCCCATCGGACGAGTCGTCGTCCCTCTGACTCTGCGATTTCATGGCTTTCTCTGTCTCAGTACTGGTGTCCCTGAACCACTGAGCGATGTAGAACTTCCGCGCAAACTTTTGGAAATTAAGATATCAGAACAACTTTAAAACCTCCAGAGATTCTTGGGGCTTTTTTTTCTTGTTACAATAATATGTCTGAATTTTCTCACCAATAGTGACGGGTCAGTCTCTACATTCTCGTCCAGGTAACCCAGCAGAGCCTTCTGCAGCTGCTGAATCTCATCGCCACCTGAGCTCTGTAAAACACAAACTGGCATGAGTTTCTTTCAGGCCACGAGGGATTCATACTTGTGATGGGGCGGACTCTGCCGTTTACCTCTCCGAGGATGCGGTTGATTGAACGCTGGTCCATTTTGCTGGTGACAGCATCTTTGCGAAGACGTGCAGCCACTGTGCCCAAATAATCCAAAGAGGCCACTCTCAAAGCCATCTCTGTCTGCTTATTACTGAATTGATGAACCTACCACGAGAAACCAGAGCATTGTGTGAGTTTGCAAGTAATGTAACAGTGCACATTCTACCTGTGAAATATCAATCTGAAACTCACCAGCAGCCTTCCCAGAAGGCTCAGCAGCAGCTCTGCAGCTGGCCAATCAGGTTTATTCACTGTGGACAGCAGATCCTGAACAAAGTTCTCAAACAGTGGCCTGTAGTCATCCTCACCTTGCTTACTACCACACCTGAAATTTAAACAAAAATTAAATAAATAAACATAACAGTGCAGTGAAGATTTTTCTTGAAAGAAATAAAATGTAGCAGATATCTAGCAGCAAAAATACAGAGCATCTGCTGCTCAACCCTTTCCAGTAATATTATTCAGTATTGCCCCGTCAAACAAATGCCCCTCCCTCAGAATGATTTACAAGTAAATTAAATAAAAAACGTAATAAACAAATAAATTCAAACATTTAGAGGCATAGTACAAATAATAGGTAACAATTAAAACTACAACAATAATTTAGCGATGCAGGTGTTGTTTGTCCTGAGATGGCATGGTTAAGCCCTTTTGAAAAGCATCAGATGAGAGTAAAACAGGTGTTTCCTGAGACAGTGCACATGCTTAGCTTAAATACAGTATGTAGACAAAAAGACATGCATTACTGATCCCAGAAGAACATAAAATATAAATGACTTTAAAGTTCATTTTCCCCCAATATAAATGGGTTGAAGTGTGAGGGTTGGAATGATGTCAGGGGCTTTTCTTACTTTTTGAGGAAAACGGAGAGGAAGTTTTGTGCTGTCCTCATTGCAGTCTCATACGAGTTTGTGATTAATACATCCTTATCAACCTGCAAAAAATGTAATAACTATAAAATAAAAATATCAAATGTTCTTGGAAAGCACTTTTTTACAGAAGAGACTCGCAATCACATATCGCAGTCATTTCAGAATATAGCTATTAGCTAAACAAGAAGTAAAATAGGCCAAAAATGGCCTTAAACAGGGTCTTCTTGCTATTGTACCTTTGAGACCTCGGTCAATATAAAATGATAACATGGAATTTGTAAAATACCTCAAAAGTTTAGGGTCAGTAAGATTTTTTTATTATTATTTAAAGAAATTAATAATTGTATTCAGCATGAAATTGATCAAAAGTGACAATAACAGCTTCTTAAATTATGTTCTTTTGAATTTTCTATTTAATCAAAGGATCCTGAAAATATAAGTATCACGTTTTCCACAAAAATATCAAGCATCACAACAGTTTTCAACATTGATAATAATAAGAAATGTTTCTTGAGCAGCAAATCAGTATATTAGAATGATTTCTGAAGGATCATGTGATACTGAAGACTGAAGTAATGATGCTTAAAATTCAGCTTTTGCATCACAAGAAAGAGATTTTATCACAATTTTAAACAAATATTTCACAATATTCTTGTTTTTCTATATTTTTGATCAATTAAATGCAGCCTTGATGAACATAAGACACTTAAAAACATTTTTTTTAAAATCTTACAGACCCCAAACATTTAAACAGTAGTGTAGGTTGTATGTTTTTTTTCAGGGTATGTCTACTTAGTTGATCACAAGAGCAAGGAAAATCCTTTGTTCCAACACATCTATAAATATAACTTAACTCTTACCTTTCTGTCATTATCATAATCAAAATCCTTATCAGAAGGTAGATGGACCACACACTGAATGAGCTGCAGAACCAGCGCCGTCACCATCTGAATGTACATGGGCTCCCCATCCACGTCACTGCTGTTCAGTCTGCACACAGATTATAGTCAATACACATGCTCAAATTGTGCCCTGGACAGCTGGTAGACCAGACTGCAGCATTTACCTGAAATTTCTCAAGTTTCTCTTGCTGGTTGGCAGTCTTGCAAGAGAGGTGAAGATCTCCTCCAGGATCAGCTGCCTGTGCTTCTCGTATCTAGAAAACACCTGGAAATTGCATGACACAACAATGTTAGATGCAGTCAGCACTAGGGCTGAACGATTAATTGCATTTGCGATAATATCGCGATATGAGAAAACGCGATTTTTCAATCGCAGAGTCTGCGATTACACTCGGTCACGTGACACGCGAGAGTAAAGAGGTGTGTTCCACTTGAAGATCGATCGGTGTATGACATCAACCTGTGTGTGTCCTATGCCTTAGCGGACAGCATGAAACCCACAAAAAATAAATAAATAACATAATAATAATAATAACAGTTATTCTCTCTATGCTATTTTTCAATGTTTCAAGTGATGCAGGTGTTTTTTTTCCCTATAGGTTTTTTTTTTAATTAAAAAAGCATTTATTTTTCATAATGTTTAATGAAATTATTTGGCAGTCTGAGGTGGGATGGGGATTCGGGAACTTAGAATGGGAGATGGATTGGTTTGTGAAAGCGAAGAGAAAAGCATTAGATGAAGTCGCACAGACCCAGGCAGGTGCTGGTCATTTAAAAGCTAAATGCATAAAACATGACGAGGCATATCTTGCTCTCGGCTTCACTCACCGTGTCTATACCAGACGCTACAGTTGTCGCGTCGCACCGCAACAGCTCTACACTGGACGCGACAAAGCAACCGTTGCAAATCATTTGAACTTTGTGTCAGTACTTCATAAATAGAACGAGGCATCAGTTTAATGTCGCGCTGCATCCAGTGTACACAGCGTCACTGATTATAATGGTATTTTGCCGCTCGCGTCCGGTGTAGACACGGTGTTTAATGTCATTGGTGAGGAGGAAAGCCTGTGTATGTCCTATGCCTTAGCGGACAGCATGTTTTTTTATAGGTTTAAAGGGGGGTGCGACCACAAAAATTTGAGAACCACTGGTCTGAAGTTAACACAGTGTTTAGTGCAGTCCACATGTTTTACATATGTTTATTACAGTGACTTTGAATTACCTAAAGTAGTGTGGTAAAGCAACAGATTTGTTTTTATATTTCTGCAATCTACTTTAGTTTGTGTGATTTGTTACTGACTTTCATATTAATGTTTACACCAGGCTATTTAAACATAATTATTACATGCTTACAAGGTTGGAAGTTCAACAAATCAGTCAATATACTGTGATTGTAGTTGTTAAAAATGTAATTCATATCAATCACCTAATTTCATCGTAACATATAGGCCTGGCCTACAGAAAAGAGCATTTATGTTTAATCTATCTATGATAGTGTGTTGGTCATACTATACAATGATTTATAGCTTGTCTTTGTTGAATAATACAGAACATAAAGAGCTTTAAAAAATAATTGCATATTAAATCGCAATCGCAATATTGGTAAAAAAAATCGCAATTAGATTATTTTCCAAAATCGTTCAGCCCTAGTTAGCACAGCAAATCATAGCGTAAAGAAAGCTGAACTGCACTGATACTTACAGCCGTCACTAGTTTAATGGCACAAAGCTGCAGCTCACTCACATTCTCAACAAAGAATGGAGTGATACCTAGAGACGAGACCTGTAGAGAGAGAGAGAGAGAGAGAGAGAGAGAGAGAGAGAGAGAGAGAGAGAGAGAGAGAGAGAGAGAGAGAGAGAGAGAGAGAGAGAGAGAGAGAGAGAGAGAGAGAGAGAGAGAGAGAGAGAGAGAGAGAGAGAGAGAGAGAGAGAGACACAAGTGCGGATTTATTAATTTTGTCAATGGAAATAAAACATGAAATGAAAACCGACTACATTTACATTCTAAATTCATGTTTCTGGTTTTATTCTGCTTGATTCATTGGTGCACAAAATGTTTGCCTTCATAATATTTTGCTCCACCTCTAAAACAACTTTCCTTTTCATATCTGCGAGGGCTGACTGCAGCAAAGAACAAGAGAATTTTATTCAGATGCAGCAGCAACCAGGTGTCAGACTCTCACCTGAAGGATGGTCGTGTCAGTCAACAGCTGAATCTCCAAGAGTTCAGATAGGTTACTGATAATGTCACAAACTTTGTTGTAGAGCATGACAGTAACTCTCTGCTTGTGCGTTGAGCACTTTGCTCGCTTGGCTTTTGAGCTTAGCGTTCCACCTGAAACAGAGCAAGAACAGACATCAAACAAATCTGTAAAAATCAGTTTTTGCACATTCAGTATGACTATACAACAACAACAACAATAATGTTACTATTATTAATAATATCTGTATTATTCAAATTACAAAAATTAAATAAAACATTTATATGACTTGCAGTAATGCTATTGTAGTGTAAAATAAACAAGTATTTATTAATAATAATTTTATAAATAATTTTAGAAAAAATTATTTTATAGTACATTAAAATTTAAATACATGTATTTTAAATGTATTTGAAAATGCAGAAAAAGACATTTGTATAACTATCGAAAAATCACATCCTTGAATGACATATACTACACATCCACCTTGTCCTAAATACTCTAGTAAAAAAAAGTAATACATTTAAAATACATTTCTTTCATTCTAAGTATAGTTCAAACCTATTAACATATTTACTGACATATCGCTCGAGACTTTCTGATTTAAAAAATTATAATTATATAAAGGATTGTGTGATCTTTAAATAATATTGGTCTTAAAATGCAAGACATTCAAAGTGTAGCTGAAGTATACTTGCACTAGTTCCACTTTAGCACAATCAAATATACTTCAGTATATCTTTAGTTGGACTTCAGCACTACTTCCGCGCAATTAAAGTACATTAAGCACAAAATTAGTTGTTCCAATTTAACAGACTTCAAGCATACCAGTTTAGTATACTAAAAGTACAATTGCATGGTATTTTTATTAAGTACATAAATATGCAAATGTATCTGTAGTATACCTAGCATGAAATAAATGTATTTCAAATACATTTTAGTATATTTATTTTTCACTAGGATAATAAAGTTTCCAGCATCAAGCATTTTTTCCATCCAGAATGTAAGCAATATGATAACATTACAGTCACTCAGAATATATTTGATAATAAGGGACCAATGAGATCTCATGGTCGGGATAAAAATATAAACCAAGCAACAGACATCTTGTCGTATAACACTTTGTGGCCCTACCTGGTAAGGATAAAAACTCAAGTTAGCATGGAAGTGAAAGGATCTTATAGGTTAGGACACTGTTTTAATGTCCAAAACTGACCGCCACGAGGGTCCACCCTGTAGACGGGGTCGTACTGCGGGTACAACGTGTTCTGTAGATGGAACTTGGTGTACTGCACGACCCTCTCGATAACATCCTCAATGTAAACGGCCTTCGGCATTCGTGCTGAGGTCATGATGTTAAGAGCCGTCAGACAAGCATCAGCAGATTTGGTGACACGTTCCATGATGAGCTCACGCCACAAACGCTCCTCGTCGTCCCTGTCGTTGTCCTGAAATCACAAGGACAGGGAACCTGTCAGCGAGAGTCAACGGCAGAGCCATTCTGCCAATAGAAACTACAATGATTCTTACATGATTCATGAGGGTGGAGAGCTTCGCACCATCCTGAATATTTTTTTCCAAAATACTCTGGACCTTCACCATCTTATCAGTAGGAATCTGAGGATAAAAGCAGTTAGCATTAAAAGATCAGGTATTGATGTGTCCTCTCTTGAGCCTGGTCCCAATCTCTCCTGTTGTCAGAGGTGTACCCACCTTATGCATGATGCCCATAGCCTTTATTTTGGCTGATTCACTGCTCAACTCCGACAACTGGTGTTTTCCGAGGAGCAGCTCCTGAGGAATCTCGTCATCATCTGCATTCATTAAATCAATTACTGTCAAACTTGCAGAAGCATTCCAGTACAGCAGAATCTGAAATAATTTGAACACGTCAAATGTAATAATTTCTGCACATTTGCACATTTACCTAACAATGTCAAGTCCACGTCTTCAAGGTTTTCAAGAATGTTGTCAACACTGGTGGAAAATCTCTTGAACGTGGAGGAGTCCATCATTTCTGTGGAGCACAAGTTGGATTACTAAAGATTAGGGGTGGGAATCACCAGAGGCCTCACGATACGATATTATCACGATGCTTGTGTCACGATAGAATATTATTGCGATTTTAAATTTATTGCGATATTTTCTGCGATATATTGCAATTTATTACCTTTTTCCAACTTTAAATTATGTCCCCAAAGGAAAACTTTGACAACATCTGTTTTAACTAAAAATAAACATTTCTCAGTTTGTTTATCTCACTTCATTTTAATTGTTGCAGTGCAAAATGGGATTGTCAAGCAGACAAACTGACCAACACTTTCATGAAAACCTGTCATAAATGTTGTATGCACCTGGCAAACTCAACTATTTGTATTACAGTCTAATCTAGTCCACCTTAATTAAATGTAAACAGGTATGCACTGCTGTGCTACTACAGGTATTTTGAACAGTGCAACTTGAAATTGTACTAAAAAGTAGCATAGCAGAGCATAGCGTCACTGAAGGTAGCATTATTTTAGCAGCGTTGCCCAGTACAGCTGAACTAGCCTACACCATGTTACAGCACAGTAGCGCTACTGCAAACCGGAACAAGTAGGCCTATACTGCATAGAAATTCTTGTCAGCGCGTTATATGAGCGGACTTTGCTTTTCCGGTGAGTATGAGCCGTACACGGGCGGAACGCACATTCATAGATCGGAATATTGAGCGGAGCGTCAAACCGCGCAGTGACGAGGAGAGTGAAACATGCGCGCTGAACACTGCGCGACGCGGCGCGCCATATATATTATTATTATTATTATTATTATTATATCTAGCCTATATTTTCGGTGCATCTCTACTTACATCCCCTCCTTGTTTACAAATCCGAAGTAAGTCCATACATCCGATTTAAACGCGGACGGGGCTTTCCCTGATAACTTCCTGATAACTTTACGCCATGCCGCCCTCTTTATTTTACTAACTTACTGCATGCTGAAGGTGACCCAGCTGACCTCACCATAAAAAAAACTCAACACCACCATCTAGTGGATTGTAAAGAATTTTTTTTTATTATTCTACCAAATAGTATAATAAAAGATCGACACTTGGCGTCCGTGTATCGATACAGTATTGCCGCGGAAAATATCGCGATACTGTGCTGTATCGATTTTTTCCCCCACCCCTACTAAAGATCCCAGCATTTCAGATTGCTCAACGCTGATTACAAACTTAAAACATACCATCTAAAGTCAGTTTGGGCTCGTAGGCTTTCCTCTTTTTCTGCTTTTCCTTCTTCTTCAACTTTCTGGCGACTGTTGTTGAAGGATGTCAAAGGTCACAATTATTCGATTTCCACACTTCAAACCATTTGAGCAACAAAACTGCCAACATAACAAATGATAACGTGTATAACTGGTCACTTACGATCACTCAGGCTGGGAGGGGGTGAATCTTCATCCGAGTCCACGGGACTGCATTCTCTGTATCGACTGCCTGAACTTCTCTGGCTGTCGTAGTGACCTCGACTTCGTCGATGATCTCCAGAACCCCTCCGGTCCTTTTCTTCATATTCCCATGTTTTGTCTCGGTTCTTTTTCGAACGCTTTGGGGGCACTAAAAGCCAGGAAGATGAAAAATTTGAATGGAAAAGCAACTTAAATCTATCTCAATTGCAAGTAATTAAGCAGATAAGATGTGAAAATGAAAATTCTGTCATAATTACTCACCTCATGTCGTTCCAAACCTGTAAGACCTACGTTCATCTTCGGAACACAAATTTAGATGTTTTTGATTAATTCCGAGAGCTCTCTGACCCTCCCACAGACAGCAAGGATCCTAACACGATCAAGGCTCAGGAAAGATAGCAAGGACATTGTTAAAATAATACATGTGACATCAGTGGTTCAACCGTAATTTTACGAAGTTACGAGAATACTTTGTGCGCAAAGAAAACAAAAATAACGACTTTATTCAACAATTTGTCTCCTCCTCGTCACCCTATAGTGCCATTTTGGAGAGTATCACATACGTAAACAACATATCCACGTGCATACGTTGCATACGTTGTTTACGTATGTGAATTGTTGAATAAAGTCGTTATTTTTGTTCTCGTATTCTCGTAGCTTCATAAATTATGGTTGAACCACTGATGTCACATGGATTATTTTAACAATGTCCTTGCTACATTTCTAAGCCCTGATCGTGTTAGGATCCTTGCTGTCTATGGGAGGGTCAGAGAGCTCCCGGAATCCATCAAAAATATTTTAATTTGTGCCCCGAAGATGAACAAAGGTCTTACAGGTTTGGAACGACATGAGGGTGAGTAATTAATGACAGAATTTTCATTTTTGAGTGAACTGTCCCTTTAAAGCCATTAGAAATGGAAAGGCTAAAAGTGAAACACAATACGGTTTGCAGTTAATGTGAATGCAAAATGGATGTGAACTAACTGCATTCTGTAGAAATTAAGGCTGGTAAGCGATTACAATTTTTAATCTAATTAATTACATGATGTGGCGATTAATTAATCTAAATAATCACAAATTAATCGCACATCAAATTTGTCTGAGAAATTACTCCCAAAAGATAATTTAAAGTCATTGTTGTGTAAAGCATCAAACAGACATTACAAAAAGTAGCTTCAGCAAGAAATATTTTGTTTGATCAAATTTATTACATATACTCTTTTGGACCGGGAGGGTGAGTAAATGATGACACAATTGTCATTTTTGGGTGGGTTAACAATAAGTTTAATAATTTATTTTATTATTATTACTATGGAAATATTAAATTATTTCTTTAATGAAATGATACTCTAAATAATAAACTAAAACTGCCAGTAGGTGGTGGTAAATGTCTTAAAGATTAAGTCATCGAGTCATTTATTCGTTCATTTGATTCGTTCAAATGGCTGATTCTTTCAGGAGTGAAGTAAATAGGCTTGTTTGAGATGAGCAAAATCTGCGCAGAACCGATCACCGGTGATCACAGCGAGATGCATGCCGGTTAGAAAAGTGTCTGAGTTACGTCCGACTTGCTCTGATGTCATGCTGACGTGTGCCAAAAAACTCTCGCCACGGCGAGGCGGCTGTGTCAGATTGTGCAGTCGAGCGCAGTTGCTTTCCACCGACTGCGCTGATCAAAAGCATGATGGGAAACGACTGACTGACAACACAGCTTAATGCTCATTGGTTCAGACAACTGTGATGCTGCGTTCTCTACTAAAATGTTTTATTTTTTTATCTGGTTCCATGTGATTATGTATTTAAATTATGCATGAATATTCCCAAACACTATGACAGTGCGATCTCTGTGTGAGATATGTGATTGTTGTCATATTTCTATAAAAATCTAAAATACATGTTTGTATT